AAGCGTGCATTCCTGTAAAAACCATTCCCTCAGGAATGCTTGGCTGAAACACTGTTCTCAGGTCCAGAGACTCCCAGCCCCAGGGTGTCTCTTCCTCTCCTGGCAACATATTTGACATTCTTTTTTGAAGATCCCATCTAGAACATAATTGAGTTTTACAGATGGAGGGTAAAGTATATTAATAAATAAGAATCATGAGACAAGGGAGCTCTGGTGGCCTAGTGGCAAGAAGCTGCACTGCAATCCCAGAGGCGCATGGTTTGAATCCACCAGATGCTCTGCTGGGGAAGGAGGGACAATCTCCTCCAGTACCAGTCAGATCTGATTTGACGATACACACACACACAAAATAATAAAATAAAAAAAATATATATATAAAATTAAAGTAATGAGACAAAACACGAAGAATGTATAAGTAAACTGACGTAAAGTAGGCAGTAGATCATTCAATTGAAGCTTCCCTTTGCTTTTATTGAACATTGCCAGGGAGCAAATTACAAAGAGAATTAAATGCAAATGAAACTAAGCTCTTTCTATTTGAAAACCTTTTGCTTGACTCAGGAGGGTGGGAATACCTGTCTGTGGAAGCCATGACTGGTAGACACTGGGCAGTTGTGAAGGCCATGGTAGCCGCCTGGCCTCGTTATGCCTGGACCTGGCAACTCTGGTCAGCGAGCAGCAAGGAGTTCTGTGCTCCGACCATGTTGCAGAGTGTGTCCAAGGAGCTCAAGGTCCTGATAGCTCAGAGGCCTTGCTGCACTGCAGGCCAGCTTGGTGTGCTGTTGCCCACAGCTGTGGATGAGCAGTCAGAAACAGAGTCCAGGGGCTCGTTCCAGAATCTACAGGCAGCGAATCAAACCCCCAAGAAGCCGAGGAGAGGGGCTCGTTCCAGCTCAGCTGAGCTTCCAGAAAACAGAGTGGATCGATCTGCTCACCTTCCTCCAATAGTCCCTCATAGTGCTCCCTCAGCTTTGCTGTAAGAAGCTGATCTTTTTGGAGTATTTACCCGCCTATGAAGCCATTAAGAAGATCCTAGAAAGTGTGCAGCTGGGTGGTGTTGAGGAGAGAAGCCTCCTGTTTATTTTAGCTCCTTACCTGTCCCAGATGGTGCATCTGAAGACACTCTGGGTTTAACCTGAGGGACTGGACCTTCAGGCGATGTCGCTTGGACCAGCAAAGAGCAGAAGAGCTGGACGGCAGCTTCACGAAATTCACTTCCCAGCTCGCCCACGTGCGCCAGCTCAAGCATCTCCATCTAATCGGTGTTTACCTCTGTGGAAGCATCCACCAGTTTCTCAGGCATCTAGAGAGACCCTCTTGGAGTCCCTGACCATTTTCTGCATTTACTACTTATTAAAAAACTCAGACCTCGAATCCCTGTCCTTGTATCCCTGCACCAGCCGTCCGTGTAAGGGTGCTGAATATCTCCAAAAGCCACATGGCCCATTTAAATCTCAAGTTGCTCCGAGCTGCCATAGACAGGACCTCAGCCACCCTGGAGCGCCTGGACTTAGCTCACTGTGGACTCATGGATTCCCACCTCAACACCATCTTACCTGCCCTGAACCACTGCTCACAGAGCCAACTGTTTAGATTCTCTGGAAATTTTGTGAGGAAGTCTACCTTGAAGAAACTGTTACGTCGGACACTCCAGACTGAGAAGTCCAGGACTGGTGCTTCCCTTGCCTCTTGTCTATGACAGAGAGGACCCTCCGACATGTGTCAATGAGTTAGTTCTTATTATGGAGCAGTTGGGGGTGCTCGACCAGATTCAAATGAGTCGTAACCTGGAGTCCTTCGAGGTGCATGGTCACGTCTTGAGGGAGCGATCCTAACTGTGGGGATGCCTACTTCATTCCCCTTCTGATGATAAGGGGTGGCTTTTTGGCTTCAGTAGGCACGAGGGAACAAGCTGTGGTGACCTCTTGATAAGAAGCTGTGCTGTCATCCTAAAGGCATGTGAGTTGAATCCACCAGCAGCTCCTGATGGGAGAAGATGGTCATTATGAACCTTCTAGAGTGTCCACTGTGGACGGGTTCCCATATCCATAACTCTAGAACAACTGCAACACTTCTTCCATTTGAAAATGACAGGCATATGGAGATATCTCCGGATGGTGGAGACCATAGGCGTTCAATGCTAGGGAGAACCATCCCTTGAAAAGTGTTATGGGTGTCCCACTTGCTCGATAATTTTTATCTGTTAGAGTTTTCTGCTTATTGTTTTTCTGTTACCATAGACATTGTTCTCAGCTCCATAAAAAGTATAGACAAAGTCTCTCTGGGTTGTTTTTGTTAGGCGTCATCAAGCCAACAGTGACTCACTGTGATGGTTTGTCAAGAAAAATCTGATTCTTGCTTAGTCATAAGCCATCCTCATGCTCTCTGAAGTGTCTTGGTACAGACACTGTGTAATTCCGTCTTATTGGGGGTCTTCCTTTCTTTCTCTGACCCTCCATTTTTTCCATAAGGATTCCGAATGAAGATAGCCTTATGTCATGGTGACCCGACAATGTGAGACAGTCCAGAGCCAGTCTTTGTGGGTGGTTTGTGGAGAGAACACCAGGACTTTGTTCTTTTTTTCTTCTGGTTTTTGTGTGTTTTTTCAACACTTTATCAAGAGGGTCTACCTCTCTATAATTCCAACAAGGATGTCCATTTCCAAGGGATAGCCTCTGCTAATAGCATTCTCAAAAGCATGTGAGGCATTTTTGCCTCCAGGACAGAATGTGTCACTCTTTCTCAGTGACTATCATTCTCCTTCTAATCCCTCTACAATTCCAAGCACAATGCCCCTTTCATAGGATTAGGTGCTCCCTAGAAGCTGCCCAAAGAGGAAAAGCTTTATGACCTCTTTTTCTAAGAAGCACACTTCTCGTGTCAAAACTCAGTGGAAAAAAAAATAACAACCCACTGACCACAAGCTCACATTCAGATGTGCAAAACTTCACATGGTTCATCACATGATGGGTGATGCTATATATTGAAAAATGGCATGCACTAAGTGCCATTTTCATGTCCAGAGCTAAGGACAGATACATGCCCATGTGGAGATGCATACATGTGTGAGATCACCCAATTTTAAATTGACATGCAACCTTGGTTCCGTAACTCAAGAATGTGGATGTGTTAGTGTCTATAGTTGTTCTTGCAAAATAAGAAGAAATTAACGAGCACAGAAAGTTGATTAACCACACATTTCATCTTTATAAGTTGTGTGAGGAGGAGGAGGAAGTGCAGGCACCTTATAAAATGGGCTCAAGATCAGTGCAGATGGTGTTCCATTGGTAAAGCTTTGCATGGTGTGGATGATTTAGGATGTGGCAAGGTTTGGTTCTCTTCATAGAGCTGCTACGAGGTATAGCATTTCTTGATATGAAGGAAGAATTGTTGGGTGACACCAGTGCATGTTACGGCTTGACCAGTTGCCAAAGATTGGTCACTTGAATTCACCCAAATGGACAACACATGATGGAGCAGTTCAAGTCTGACAAACGTGGCTTCATTAACTTATAATCTGACTGCTAAATGCAAGCTTACTTGAGGAGAGTAGCTTGTATTATAGGGTGTTGTGATGCCCAGGAGGGAAGGAGAGTCAATGACATTTACTGCCTCTGATAGGAAATATTCTCAGTGTCTCACAGGCTGGCCCGTGGTTACAGGCATTGTGTGAAGCCATCTTTGTGTGTGAATCCTTCTCGTAGGTGGTCTTCCTCTCTGTCTGACCTTTCTCCATTTCCCCGCATATCTTTTTCCCAAGAACTGGCCCCTCTTGAAAACAACTTGATAGGAATCTCGAGTTGAGATGCTGCTGACATTGTACACAGCCACGTCCTAATATGTCGTCTCTAATTACATATGCGCCCTCCTCACTGTCTTTTCCTTCTCTCTCACATTCCCAGCTCATGGTGGTAGAAGGCTCTGAGCTTCTACTGAGTTACTTCTGTTTTACATCTCAGCATGTGGACTCTTGTCTGCGAACCTGTTGCTCTCTGGTCCGCGTATTGGTGTTCCCCTAGAACAATGCTCTTCTCAATGCATTGTTTTTGATGAGGAAAGTTTTTCCAGTGGTTTTCAATGTTTAGGTGAATGCTTTTCTTTCAGGGCACCACGGTTATATGCTTGGCTGGGACATTGTCCTCAGTTCCAGAGACTCCCAGCCCCGTGTCTCTTTCTTCTCTTGACAACATATTTGATGTTCTTTTTGAAGATCCCATCCAGAACAAAATTCACTCACTGCCTCTAAGTGTTGATGGACCCAAATTTCTAAAGTGGGTAAAGACTTAAGATCCCTTGCTCAATTATGATCTGAGACGTACATATGAAATACGGTGGGATTATTTTTTTTTATCTTGGGGGGATTATTTTTTTTACACACAAAAGTCCTTGGCTGTACCTGCTGGTCTTTTGACGGCAATGCAGGATTCCTGTTTACATTGAGCCTCAATGATTCCTTGTGCTTTTTTTTTATTAAAGAAAAATAAAAATTCATATTTTAATTGTGATTTTAACAAAAGTGTACAGAAATGTTAGATTTTCATTCATTCATTTATTGGTGCACATTGTACCTCATCCCCCCCACCCCAAGTTGACTTTTAAAAAATATACTCGTTTATTTACAAAATTTGAATATTCTGCACTCTGCGAGAGCCCCGGAAGATTTCATATCAGCCCTCAGGGAACGCTGGTGCTTGTACGAAATCCCTTCTTCATTATGCCCTCATAACCTATGGCTTGATCCGTGTTCATGACCAGGTGCAGAAGGTCAGTGGGAGGTAACCTCTGGAGACAGGAGTTGGGATGTCTGACCCAGGATGTCCACATGGCCTCATTTTAGCTCATTGTCATTTCTGACTCAACAGCACAGCATAATAGATTGTAGGGAGCTTGGGCCTGGGGGCTAAGGTGTTGCCCAGATGTAGGGAAACCACCACCATTGATGGCACCACTACCTGTGTCTCTAACTGGACCCCCCCCCTTTCCTCTTCTTTCCCTCTTAGGTAAGTGTGGACCCACGCCAGCACACTGTCCTCATGAACACCTCCCATCCACCCCATCTCTTCGACCTGGCCAAGCAGAGCCTCCTCAAGGATGAGTCTTGGGTCCCAGTGGCTGCACAGCTCATACCTTTCCGACTCTGGGAACACCTCTTTGTGGAAGCCATGTCTGGTAGACACTCGGAGATTATGAAGGCCATGGTAGCCTCCTGGCCCTCGCCATGCCTGGACTTGGACACTCTGATTACTGACCAGCAGTTCCATCCTCTGACCTTGTTGTCAAGTGTGTTCAAGGGGCTTGAGGTCCTGCTAGACCAGGGTCCTCGTCATGCAGCAGGTCAGCTGAGTGTGCTGTGGCCCACAATTATGGAGGAGGAGTCAGAAATAGAGTTCATTGGCGCACTCGAGTATCTAGAGATGGAAAAGGAAACCCCCAGGAAGAGGAAGAGAGAGGACTGTTCCATGTCAGCTCCCAGGAAGGCAGAAGTAGCTGTGGAGGTGGTGGCGGATCTGATCTTCGACACAACAGAGTTTTACGATCTGCTCTCCTTCCTCATGTGGAGGGTGCTGGCGGGGAAAGTGCTCCCTCGGCTTTGCTGTCAGAAGCTAAGCTTTTCAGATAATCTACCACATTATGAAGTGACTAAGAAGATCCTTCAAAGTGTGCAGCTGGATGGCGTCGAGAGGTTGAAAATCTGCCTCAAGAAGAGGAGAGATTTCCTGTCCGTGTTGGCTCCTTACCTGTCCCAGATGGTGCATCTGAAGACACTCCAGCTCCAGCACTTTATGCCTCAGATATGGACCTCGAGGAGACGTACCCTCAACAAGGGCAGAGCAGAAGAGCTGGAGAGCATCTTCATGCAATTCACTTCCCAGCTCGCCCACCTGCGCCAACTCCAGCATCTCCACGTGGATAATGTCTACCTCTGTGGAAATATCCACCACTTTCTCAGGCACTTAGAGGCGCCCTTGGAAACCCTGAGCATTTCCTTTGTGATGTGCTTATTAGAGAACGCAGACATCAAATCCCTGTCCCTCTATCCCTGCACCAGCAAGCTAAAGGCACTCAGTTTCTACAATACCACGTTGGCCCACATCAATCCCGACTTCCTCCGAGCTGCCATAGACAGGACCTCGGCCACCCTGGAGCGCCTGGACTTAGCTCATTGTAAGCTCACGGATTCCCACCTCAACGCCATCTTACCTGCCCTGAGCCACTGCTCGCAGCTCCAACTGTTTAGATTTTCTGGAAACTGCGTGGGGAAATCTACCCTGAAGAAACTGTTACGTCGGACAGTCCCGACCAGGAAGTCCAGGCGCCTGGTGCTTCCTTTGCCTTATAACATGGACAGGAAGGACTCTTCATCACTTGTTAGTGAGTTTGCTCTTCTCCTGAAGCAGTTAGGAGTGCTCAGTCAGGTCAAGGTGTATCGTTACCAACCCTACATCCTGGAGTTCCTTGAGGTCTTGATGGAACTATCCTAACGGGACAGATGCCATCTTTAATCCCCTTCTGATGATATGGGTTGGCTTTATAGCATCTGTAGGCAAGAGGGAGTGAGTTGTTGAGTCCTCCTGGTAAGAAGCTGTGCTGTCATCCTAAAGGTATGTGGGTCCAATCCACCAACAGCTCTTGGGAGGAGAAGATGGTCAATCTGAACCTTCAGGAGTGTCCACTATTGTCTTGTTGACACAAGAACTCCAGCAAGGCATTCTTCATTTGAAAATATAGGTAGGAACATACACTTTGAATGTTGGGAAGGACCATCCCCTTGAAGGTGTTGTGCACGTCCCGAGAGTTAGAGAATAAATTTCCATCTCTTAAAATTATCCGCTTGTGGTTGGGTTTTTTTTTGTTTATTTTTTCGTTACCCCCAAAAAAGTATAGAGAAAGTGTTCCCAGGCTGTAAGGAATATGTGCAACTTGCTTAGTCCGAAGCCATCCCCATGCACTGTGATGTGTCTTGGTTCAGTCACTGTGTTGTTACTCCATCTTGCTGAAGGTCTTCCTGTGTTTCTCTGGCCCTCTTATTCTTTCCACAAGAATTCCAAATTTAAAAAAAAAATCCAAATTAAGATGACCTTATGTGACAGTGACCAGATGTGAGGTAGCCCAGAGCTAGTCTTTGAAGTGTCTAATTTCTGGAGAGAAGACCACTTGACCTTGATTTTTTTTTTCTTCTGGGTGTTTGGGTTTTGTTGGTTTGTTTTTATTTAAATGTACCAAAAGGATCTTCCTCTCCATAATTCCAAGAAGGATGTCCACTTCCAAAGCAAAGTATTCTGCTAACAACATACTCAAAAGTATGCAAGATAAAACTTACAACATTTTGGCCTCCCAGGACAGAAGGCATCATTCTTCTCATTAACTGTCTTCTACAGTTCCAAGCACAATGGCCTTGTCCAAGCAGTAGCACCTCTCTAGATTTTGCCCAATGTGGAGAAGTTTTAAGACCTGTTTTGTTTTTTGTTGTTGTTGTTGGGGTTTTTTTTTAATTTTTTAATTATTAAATTGTATTAATTTTCATGAACATTTGCAGAGATTTTGGGTTTCCATTCATTCATTGTTGCACTATTCTCTCTACCCTCCTCCCAGTTTGTTCTTGTCCAAATGCCACAGTGCTTGTCAAAGCCAGTGCTGATAAAGCTCCTTTGTCAGTGTGTCCTTTGCCATTCCCTATCACTCCTCCCTGAGAGACTTCACCCTGAGTCATAAGGAAAAGGGGATGGCATATTCTCTTAGCTACTTCCTGCTGAAAAGGGATGCTGTAGGTTTCAGGGTGAAGATCTTCTCTCACTACTCTAAAGGGTCCCTTTGGCAATAGGAAATACGTAGACTATTGTGGAGACTGATTTTGGAATTTAGATGAACTGTTATCAATTGTGCTTAGCTGTACATGTTCATATCCTTGAAGATGTATCATGGAAGTGTTGCAGCCTAGAAGACACAAATGTAACTAACAAGTTAAAAGTGCATGAGTCAAAAATTTAAAAGCAGGGGAGCTCTGGTCGCCTAGTGGCAAGGAGCGGCAACTACAATCCCAGAGGCACACAGTTCGAATCCACCAGATGCTCTGCCGGGAAAAGGAGGGACAATCTCCTCCTGTACCAGTCAGATCTGATTTGATGGTACACTCACACAAAAATTAAAAAAAAAATATTCCAAGTAGAGGCTCTAATAGTGGCACAAATCAAGTTATAGAGGGAAGGTAGTTTTTACAATTAAAGGCTTATTGACTAGCACTTTGTCTATTATAAAGGTTAGGAACCACAAGATGTAGAGAAGACCTGTTTTTCTAAGGAGTACATTTTCCAAGTCACAATCAGTGGAAGAATAAAAACACTGACCATAATCTCAAGTTCAGAGATGGAAAACCTCTCTTCATCCCACGATTGGTGATGCTATTTAATGAAAAATCGCATGCACTATGTGTCATTTTCATGCCCACTGCTAAGGACATGCTCCAGCACAGACCCATGGACATCTGACAGCACACAGTTCACGTGCAACCTTGGTTCCCTAAATCTTAAGAATGTCGACGCACGGGTGTCCATACTAGTTCTTGCAAAATACACACTAGCTTGATCTGCCATACATTTTATTCTCTGTAAGCTCTGTGATGAGAATGCAGGCATCTCATAAAATGGATTTGAGTCTAATACACATGGTTTAGGACAGAGGAAGCTTTGCCTGGTTCAGATGGTGCAGGTGAAGGGAAGCCTTGAATGATGGGGGTAGTGCTGGATATGAGACGCTTTGGTTCTCTTAATAGGGTTGCTATTCCTTCTAGCATCTCTTGATATGAAGGATTATTGGGTAGATTTCGCCTCTCAACATTGAATTTTGTTGTCACGTACTGTGGGGTCAACAAGACCTGAAGCTGACCCTGAGACTCATAGGTAATGCTTGGGTGGCATTTTCAGAGCCCATGAATCACCCAAGAGGAGACTACACGTTTCATTCATTTCCTGCACAGAAGCTGATGGGTTCAAACCACATACCTTTGGGTTGGCAGCACAAGACCTTCCCTCTAAACCACCAGAGTTTGCTTATTTCATACATACTGGATAGATACTATGCATGGTGTTGTGTTCCCTTGAATGGGAACTGACTTATTGCTGACTCTCTTGAGGGGTTTCAGAGGCAATAACTCCCACAAGAGGAGATTTGCTCATCTTTCTCCTACGTAGCAGTGGATGGATTCCATGTTCCTTTGCATTGACAGCACATCTCCTTACCTCTAAGCATTCCACATGCCAATTGTTTATATGCTCTTGTGATTTCGCACCTTTGAGTCAGATCTCACTCATAGTGGACCCTCCAGCTGGTTTGTAGAGGCTGTAAACTGCCCCAAAGGAGACTGACTACCCATTTTTCTTTTGTGGAGCTTCTGGTGGACTTGAATGGTGCTCCATTGAGTTGGCAGTGCAATTTCTTGCCATTAAGCCACCAGAGCTCCCTTACTTACTATCTGTTTTTATGTGCCATTGAGTCACCTGCAGCTCATTGAGATCCTATGTACAATAGCAGTGTCCTGAGCCAATCTCATTGTCCCTGACACACCTTCCCCCATCACCCCAGTCACTGATTCAATCCCTCTCCTCAGGGGTCTTTGTCTCCTGCTCTGTCCCTCCAGCCTCCCATGTATGACGTCCCTCTCCAAGGACCAGTCCCTCCTGGCCACATGCCCACAATATGTGAGATGGAGCTATATCTAAATAGCATACATATATATTATAAAGTTACACATGAAATTGGTTAAATTGTATTTCTGTCTTGTGGGAACCCATTCATAGCTGTCTCTCCAATAGATTTTCAGAGGCAGGATATTATAAGGGATGAGTGGGAAGCCAGATATCAAATTTAATATTAATAAACCAAATGCTATATCAGGATATAAGGGAGGGATAATACAAGTCAGCGTTCACCCCGAGGCTCTCTTCCTTAAGAGTCAACATGAAAAAAGGAAGTCAACATCATTCTTAGTTTGTATTTACTGATTCCCTCCCTCCTGAGATAAGCATAAGGTAAAGAATAGAGAAATACTCTGCCTTATCTGCAAAACACTTCCACAGGATCCCTTGTTTTTGTTTAATACTTGCTTGTGATTGTCTCAATAAATACACAGGAAGGCATGGCTTGGGATTTCAGTTCGTTATCAGGACTGTTGGCTCCTTGTCTTTATTCTCCCTTATCTCATTCTTGGCTGTCTGTCATTATTAATACTTATGAAAATATGCAAAGGCATTTGACTGTGTAGATCATAACAAACTATGGCTGACTCTGAGAAGAATGGGAATCCCAGAACACTGGATCGTTCTAATGCGAAACTTATACTTGGACCAGGAGGCAGTGGTCAGAACAGAGCAAGGGAACACTGCATGGTTCAAAATTGGGAAGGGCATACGCCAGGGATGCATCCTATCTCCATACCTTTTCAACCTATATGCAGAACAGATTATCCGGGAGGCTGGGCTCTATGAGGAGAAATGTGGGGTCAGGACTGGTGGACGATTTATCAACAATCTGCGTTATGCGGATGACACAACCCTGCTTGCTGAAACTGAGGAGGACCTGAAGCGCCTGCTGCAGAGTGTCAAGGACTGCAGCCTACAATATGGATTGAGGCTCAGTGTCAAGAAGACAAAGATTCTCACCACTGGACCAATCGGCAGCATCAGGATGGATGGTGAAGAGATTGAGATTGTACACAGCTTTACTTTGCTTGGCTCCATAGTCAACAGTCTTGGCACCAGCAGCCAGGAAATTAAAAGGCGCATTGCCATGGGAAAGTCTGCTGTTAGGGACCTCTCCAAAGTGCTGAGGTGCGTCTGATACAGGCCATGGTCTTCGCAATCACCTGTTACGCATCAGAGAGTTGGACAATGACCAAGGAGGATAGAAGGAGAACTGATGCCTTTGAGCTGTGGTGCTGGAGAAGAGTACTGAGAATACCATGGACTGCTAGGAAAACAAATAGATTTGTCCTGGAGAGGGTTAAACCTGGTGGCTCCTTGGAGGCAAGGATTCTGAGGCTCCGTCTAACTTACTTTGGACATGTTGTGAGGAGAGACCGGTCCTTGGAGAGGGACATCATGCTTGGGAGGGTGGAGGGATGGCGCAGGAGAGGAAGGCCCTCTATGAGGTGGATTGATTCAGTGACTGGGATAATTGGGATGGGAGTGTCAGAGACAGTGCGATTGGCACAGGACAGAGCGGAGTTTAGGGCTGTTGTACATAGGGTCGTTATGAGTCGCAGGCGACTTGACGGCACATAACAACAACAACATGAAAATACTTTACCCTCTGCAACAAAGACTGCCCATGTGTCTCTGAAGGAGTAGCTGGTGGATTTGGACCACCGGCCTTCAGGGTGTGGCATTGCAACTCCTCAGTTCTATGCCAGCAGAACTCCCTAATTGTTCCCATATTATATTCAATCAATTGAAAGCAGTATGGCGCACTGGTGGCCTAGGGGCAAGAA